ACACATGCAGCCTACCGAGGAACTTTATCTGGCCGGCCAGGTGTTTTTGCCCCATTTGTTTTTTTACTTCAAAATAAGATATGTGCAGTGTGCATGGGAATTTGTTCATAGTTTTTTTTTAAACTATAGTCTGGCTCTCCAACGGTCTGAGGGAGAGTGAACTGGCCCCCTGTTTAAAAAGTTTGAGGACCCCTGGGTTAAACTATGGCTGAAAGGTACGTTCTTATGGTTTAGGTGCTCTGCTCAGTTATAACGCTAGGTGCCTGGTAAATATTGTACAACTATTGGCTCTCATGTAAAATACCACTGTGCTTTGCAGACTTGGTTTTAAAATCACAGCACTTGTACCCTTTTGATCCATGTTAAACATTTATAAGATGGCAGTTGGCCTTCTGAAAAGACTATTAAACTCCTATGACCACACGTTCTACCCCAAATAAGTAGACAGCAGTAAAAGGGACCTTATCCATGACAGGGGAGGCACGCAGTCTGCCAAATCAAAGATAAGCTTTACCCCCTCAGCCTCCATCTGAACAGCGGGAGGAATGAAAACACATTCTCTGCCTCTTGGGAAATCTAATTGTCCTGATCTTGGCAGCAAACCCATAACACTGTATTTTATTTACAAAACCTTGCATTCCCAAGGGAAGATGTTCGTGAAGATTATAGGAAAAAAAGAGGCTGCACCATATGGCTGGGACCTCACTCTTTCACTGCTCTCTCCCGGGCTGGCTCTGCTCCGGCACTCCCCGCAGGGACGGGGCCAATCTGAGGAGTCTCTCGAGGGGCAGGAGCACGCTCTATGACTTCTCACCTGAGAAGGATTGGTTTATGTCTCCCGAGAATTATGTTGAAATCCTAAACCCTCTACTTATGAATAGGAATCGATCCGGAAATAGGGGGTTCCTTTTGTTATATTTGTGAGGGCAGATCAGAATTAAAAAAGAAAACATTACTTTCATCTGGTGGATTCTGGCTCATAGTGACCCCACAGGACAGGGTAGAACTGCCCTGGTGGGCTTTCAGACCGTTCCTCTTTACTGGAGTAGAAAGCCCATCTTTCTTCCACATTAATGAGGGTGGAGCAGAATTTTTAAAAACAGAAAATCTCACTGTCATTACATGGATTCTGGCTCGTGGTGACCCTATAGGACAGCATGGAACTGGCCCTGGGGGTTTCTGAGGCTGTTGCTACCCTGTTTCCCCAAAAGTAAGATGTCCCCCGAAAATAAGAACTACTTACAGTTTTGCCTCTCGCTGAAATATAAGGCATCCCCCAAAAAGAAGGCCTCCCTGAAAATAAGGCCCCCCGAAGCTACCGTAACTCCAGTAACTCTGGACTCTAGACCGTAGCGGCAGGTGCTGCCAAGCAGCTCACTGTTGGCCGCAGCACAGCTGGAGCAGACAGGAAGTGCGAGGTCTCTTTTAATAAAACAATAAACAAGTACCGTATTCTTCTTCATGGAAAAATAAGACATCACCTGAAAATAAGACCTAGCACATCTTTGGGAGCAAAAATTAAAATAAGACACTGTCTTATTTTCGGGGAAACAGGGTACTAGTTTCAGTTTGGTTTGACGTCTTTCCAGAAGCAGAAAGCCTCAGCTCTTCCACATAGCAGGGATCCTTGATATCAGAATTGGGTGGGCCTTAAACCAAATCCCTGCTGAGAGATGCCATACAAAAATCAAAATGGACAAGACAAATCAAAATGGTATCAGGCGAGATGCCACGTGTAGTCAGAGGTAGCTGAGTCTGCAAGCCCATGACTGAAAGAGACACCGAGGAGCCTTCCTCTAGAACCCAAGTCCTGCCTCTGGACTTGTCACCCCTAGAACCGTGAGACGATAAACCCTTGTTCTTGAGCAACCTCCTCCCGCCATGATGTTGTGTCTCTCCAACACCCTAGGTCCTTTCAATGTGAGACGGGAACATCTAATGGCCCCAAACTGCTTTCTGCTCACTCCTAGATAGTAATGGAGAAGGTGTGGGGCACCTGCAAAGCCAGTAGATCAAACCTACCCGCTGATTGGGAGAAAGGTGAGGCTTTCTGCTCCCAGAAAGATCCACAGTCTCAGAAACCTGCAGGGGCAGTTTACCCAGCCCTAAGAGGATCACTATGAGTCAGAATCGACTTAGCAGTGAGTTTTGAATGGAGCAGCAGTTGATGGTTCAAACCCATCAGCTGCTCCCTGAGGGAGGACGAGGTAGCATTCTGCCTTCATAAGATGACAGCCTAGCCCCAGAGATCCATCACTGGGAGCTGACTGTGTTAGGTAGCGAGAAGCAGGGATGTCAGAAGGGCATGCTCCAAGTTCAGGCACCCACCCCCCTCCTTCCCTCGAGCCAGGTGGGCAGTACACCTGGATTGGCCCAAACTAGGCCAGGTGGGCGTAATTCAGCCAATGGGGTCAACCAATACCTTCGACCAAGCCTGCCAGACAAAGGGCCTAAAAATCGGAATCTCAAGACCACCAATCCGGTTCTTTCCTTCCGCTGCTTCTCTGCCTTCCAATTGGCTGTGCCTCGGCCTTTCTGGCCCCAGGCCACCACGTGTGGGTGCACAGTCCCATGAGGGTGCCTGTGTTCAGTGGCTGTGAAGCCTGAAACTTCTTCCAACCTTTATAAAAACCCATTTGAATCATAGACCAGGCTTCGGTGCGAATTCTTTCTCGTGGAAGCCATGAATAGAAGTACTTCCCACCCGGGAAATCGAACAAGCTGGATGGTGCCTGACCACCACTACCAACGGCTTTGAAAGGGGTCACATTACAAGGTCCTGGATAGAGGGGGAGAGACATGTGGAGCAGAACTCAAAAGCATTAAAAAAAGGACTGGGCTCACTGGTTAGATAGAGACTGGTGGACTCCCTGAGTCAATGGCCCTCTGTC